TTAACACTGGAGATTTTGCTGTGTATTTTTAAAGTTGACTACCACAACTTCCTCCTTCAGTTTTCACCAGCATTATCTGCATTATATTTCATGTGTGGGCGGTCTCGAGGCAAGTGAAGGCAACACTTGCAATTAGTCACATGTTCTTTTGTGTTTGCAGTGTGCTTATCTATGAATGTTGTGAATGTAAATATCTGTACTGGTAATGCACTAACTGCACTTGTTTAAGATCATATTACTTGACAGAGACCTGATGACAGAATACTGTTTTATTTTCACATATTTGCTTCAAAGTAGCAGTAAATATGTGTATGAACCTGATGAATACAATATAAAAACACAGCCGTCTATATTATTTGTTACCAGTTTTCTACATGTACTTTTTATTGAATTTTTTCATCACTGTAACTACATGAACTCTCCCTTTGCCACCAACAGGTCTTTCTTTGAAGAAAAGGTGAACAGTGCATCTTTTACCAGAGCTCCATCCCTGAATGGCAGATAGAGATGGGGCCCATCCATGTGATGATGTGGATCAATATTGGTGTCTGCCTTCCTTTGACCATACTGGTCATCTGCTGTTTGTGTTGTGTGGTATGTAGATAATCACTAAATACTGTGCATTTTATGTCTGTCAGTATATGAACAAAAAGAAGAGTTTTCAAAACAAATATAATTAAAATAAGAAATATGTTTCCGTTAGGAGAAAAAATGGATGGAAATAATTTTGAACTGATTCCAGCAATCTTAATGTGTAATTTACAAAACTGTGAGAGACAGTTTATTACAAAATATTGTCCAGCAAGCTATTTTTTTCATGGTCCAAAGCCTGATCCTTTTAGCTGACGCCAGGAGACCAAAATGTCTCTATACTGTCCACCTGTGCACTGAACGTCCTTTTCCTTCTTGCGGTCACGTGCACAGATGCCGGTATAGATGCTTATTCAGTACTTAAACATTGAACTAGCACTATAGCACTATTAGTTTTTGTTAAATAAAAATTAAAATGGTGTAATATGTTGTGCACTGTTGTTCAGCTTTAAGACCTGCAAGACCTGATCAGAGGAATATAAACCTTCTTTTTACCCCGACTGTGCTATACTGGTTAGGGATAATTGAACATTTCACTGCGACACTAACATGGGCAGTATCGGACGTATAGACTGGATGGGTCCCGCACACCATTGAATCCTATCGAGATCTTTAAAATTACTTCTGTGGTTTTTTGGGAAACACGAACACCGATTATCCTGAATGGGTACCTGTCACACTGGATGGGGCTGTGCTTAGGCTTCTAAGGGTTATTCCTTTATGAGTCCTGACATAATATAATCAGCTGCATCTGTTATAGTTTACACGTCACAGTATACCCAGAAAAGCTTTCACACTTACATGCAGCTGTGACCTTAAAAAGTAGGTCACGGTCACTCATTTGAGGTCAAGTGACAAAGAAGTGAAAAATGAATCATTATAAAAAAGAGAAAATTAGGGTGTGGTTAAGTGTAATGATCGTAATTTCATGTTTGTTAGAGTTTATACTGGACAGTAAGTCCAGGTTAATGTGCAGGTTTGCAGTGAATTACTATGTTGGTGCAGGCAAGACTGTGATATTCATGGTGACTGGTTAGGTGCTGAGTAATAGCAGGGACACTATAAGAGTGATATG